CCCAAGTGGTCTACGAGGGGCTCGTGGACGACACCTTCCGCATCAAGTGTGGTACGGGGCTCGGGCAGGGCGAGGGGCAGCACGGGGCTCTGCCCTCACAGAGGGGCAGCACGGGGCTCTGCCCTCACAGAGGGGCAGCACGGGGCTCTGCCCTCACAGAGGGGCAGCACGGGGCTCTGCACTCACAGAGGGGCAGAACGGGGCTCTGCACTCACAGTGGAGCAGCACGGGGCTCTGCACTCACAGAGGGGCAGAACGGGGCTCTGCACTCTCAGCACGGGGCTCTGCACTCACAGTGGAGCAGCACGGGGCTCTGCACTCACAGAGGGGCAGAACGGGGCTCTGCACTCTCAGCACGGGGCTCTGCACTCACAGTGGAGCAGCACGGGGCTCTGCACTCACAGAGGGGCAGAACGGGGCTCTGCACTCTCAGCACGGGGCTCTGCACTCACAGAGGGGCAGAACAGGGCTCTGCACTCTCAGCACGGGGCTCTGCCCTCACAGTGGAGCAGAATGGGGCTCTGCACTCACAGAGGGGCAGAACGGGGCTCTGCACTCACAGTGGAGCAGAATGGGGCTCTGCACTCTCAGCACGGGGCTCTGCACTCTCAGCACGGGGCTCTGCACTCACCTGGCCAGCGTCTGCAGGGTTTGTGCCTGGCATTGTCAGGCACGGTGCTGTTCCTACAGGGACAGTCCCAGTGTGGGGTGCTGCTGGAGGTCATCCTCACTTTTCCCAAGAGACTGGGCTGGCATCCCCTGTCTCTGCTGCCTCTTACAGCAAGGCTTGTGCATGTGGGAGTGTTGCTATGTCTGGACAGGGCAGCTCTTCACTTTTCCCTGCAGGCAGTGTGGATTTTGGGCCAGATGTCACCTCTTCTGACAAGAGTATTAAAGTGCTGCTCAATTCCCAGGACAAAGTGAGTCCTCACAAGCCTCCGGGGATCTCCTTGGTGGGAGGAGGCAGAGTGAACCATCTCCCCCCTAAGACCGAGTAGGGGTGGCTGGGGGCTGCTGGGCCCTTGGAGCATGGGTTCAGGCACAGAGCAGAGAAACCTGGTGCAGCTCTACTTCTGAACCTGTCAGAGTCCCTGCATGCAGGGCTGTGTCACAGAGGAGTGCTTTAAGGTCACTAAGGGAATCCCCAGCACAGGTATCCACAAAAACAGGTTTAATACAAAAGCTGCAGCTTGACAAAATTCGTTGGCAAAGTTTTAAATGGTAAAGCACACAGATGAAAAAAATTATAAATCAATCCATCCAAACCAAAATCAAACCCAAAAATATCTCCGTGGAGATGGAGGTGGGAAATGAGGCGGGAATCAAAAGGATAGGAAAGAAATACAGCAGACTCTCCTGTTGAGTCACAAGGTTCATAGTCATTTTCCATCCTGGCCACAATTCAGGTTGGTATATTACTATGGAATTTGACAATGAAAATATGACTCCACTTGGGTCTATATTCAGGTTACAAAAATAATTTTCCCAGGCTGTTTATTAAAAGACAGTAGCTGGTTAGACAGTACTAGTTCCTAGGAAGAGAGAGTGTTTCTGCTGAGCTGGGGAGGACCCAGGTGCTGTTCACCAGGGCTGACCCCTGAGGAGCATTTCTGAGACCATGGTGTGGCCTGGCTCCGAGGGACACACTGACACTGCTGTGCTGCCAGCCGGGTTCTGGGGCATGGGGAGGCACGTGGCCAGCGGGGTGTGTGGCCCTGGGCTCTGTGTCCCCGGGGCTGCAGCTGGCTGGGCCCTGGCAGCTGTGCTGCTCGCACAGGTGTTCAGCCAGATCCGGAATGAGCACTTCTCCAACGTGTTTGGCTTCCTGAGCCAGAAGTCACGGAACCTGCAGGCACAGTATGACGTGAGTGTCACCTTGGGATATGTGTGGCACTGTCCCCCAGTGCAGCCTGGCCACCATCCCCCAGTGCAGCCTGGCCACCATCCCCCAGTGCAGCCTGGCCACAGCCCCAGTGCAGCCTGGTCTCAGCCCCTGCTCTCCCTCCCACCCTCCCACAGCGACGCCGGGGCATGGACATCAAGCAGATGAAGGACTTTGTGTCCCAGGAGCTGAAGGGACTGAAGCAGGAGCATCGCCTGCTGAGCCTGCGTAGGAACCAAGGGGCAGGAGGGGCCCTCGGCTGTACTGCTGGGGCTGGGGGGAAAGCAGGGGCTGGGGGCCCTGGATGTGCCCAGCAGGGACGGGGCAGGGGCTGGGGGCCTGTGCTAACAGTGCCTGCAGAGCTCTCTTCCCTCCAAAGCCACTGTGTCTCTTGGCCTTGTAGATATTGGTGCCTGTGAGTCTATCATGAAAAAGAAAACCAAGCAGGACTTCCAGGAGACCATCAAGGCTGAACACTGTGAGTGCTGATCCATCTGTGCCTGCCCCAGTCTGAGCCATGGCCTCGCTAGCCCCAGGCCCACCACCCTCATGCCTGGGTGTGCCCTGTGTGGCCCCGTCCTCCCAGCCCCTTTTGGGGGTGTCTCAAGATCCTCAGTAGGGTCAGGCTGCACTCTGTGAGAGGGACTGTGTGGTGGGGCCCGTTCCCTTGGGTGCTGGGAGGGCAGCAGAGCCCAGTGTGCTGGCAAGAGCCCTGGGGTGACGCTGCCCGTGCCCCTGCCGCAGCACTGCTGGAGGGCTTTGACATCCGTGAGAGCACCAGCTTCATCGAGGAGCACATCGACCGCCAGGTGAGAGCAGGGGCTGCGGCGGGAGCATGCAGCGTGCTGCCCCCTGGCCCCGCTCCCACAGGTGCCCCTGACCCCCATTCCCACAGGTGTCCCCCGTTGAGAGCCTGCGCCTCATGTGCCTCCTGTCCATCACTGAAAATGGTGAGTGCCCCACTCTGCCGGGCCACAGGGCACCCCGCCCCAGCCTGGCACTCAGCTCACCTGGTGCTCCCCGCAGGTCTCATCCCCAAGGACTACCGCTCCCTGAAAACCCAGTACCTGCAGGTGAGCGAGAGCTGGGCTGGGTGGGGTCCCCTCCCTGTGCTCCCGGTCATGAGGGGCTGGGCCCTGCCTGCAGGGGCTCCACATGAGTCCCAGCACAGCCCCTGCCTGCACAGCCCCTGCCTGCACAGCCCCTCCCTGAGCCCCAGGCTCCACCTGCCCCTGCCCTGTGCCTGCTGGGGCTCTGGGCAGGCTGTACCTCACCGCAGCGGGGCCAGCCCGTGTGCTGCCCATGCTCGCTGATCTGATGCTGCTCCCCGCTCACAGAGCTACGGGCCTGAGCACTTGCTGACCTTCCACAACCTCAAGCGCATCGGGCTGCTGACCGAGCAGGCAGCTGGGGAGACCCTGACAGCCGTGGAGAGCAAAGTCAGCAAGCTGGTGACAGACCGTGCTGCAGGTGAGCCAGCCCCTGCCCTGTGTCCTGGAGCCCACGAAGGAGAGCTGCTGGCCCAGGTCTGGCTGGAGGCACGTGGCAAGTGATGGTGCTGCAGGCAGGGCAGGGCAGGGGACTCTGCTCTGGGGGGACCAGGGCTGGCAGCCACCATGGCCATTCTCCAGAGCACACAGCTCTGCACAGCTCTGCCAGCCTGGCTCTGGCGTCCAGACAGAGCCTCTCAAGATGTTTCTCCTTGTCATGTTTTCCAGGAAAGATCACAGATGCATTCAGTTCTTTAGCCAGGAAGAGCAATTTCCGAGCCATAAGCAAGAAGCTGGGGTTGGTACGTCCTCAAGGGGTGCTGGCTGGACACAGTGCCACAGAGCACAGAGCTCTGCTTAGCCCAGGCTGCAGGCTTGGCACCCCAGGGGGACACAGCTCAGGGCCAGAGCTGCTGCAGCTGCTCCAGGCAGCCTGGGGGCTTCTCCTTGGGGCTGGGGGCCACTGCCAGCTTCCCACTCTGCCCTGGCCCTGTGCGTGCTGGGGCTTTCCTTGCCCCCTTCAGACACTGCAGTGGCACTGGGCAGGCAGCCCCGTGTCCTCCATCCTAGGCAGAGGTCCTAGGGTGCTGGCAAGGTGACATTTCTGGGACATTTCAGGGACATTTCTGTCCCTGGCTCCTGCTGCACAGCCCACCCAGGCCATGTGATGCTGGCTCTGGCATGGTGGAGACAGAGCCATGCTCCAAGTGTCTGTGTCTCCTCACCCCTGCACCTCTGAGGGGGAACGAGGCACCCTTGGTGTCACCTGTCACTGCAGATCCCTCGGCTGGATGGCGAGTATGATCTCAAAATGCCTCGGGACATGGCCTATGTCTTTGGTGGGGCCTATGTGCCCCTGAGTTGCAAGATCATCGAGCAGGTGAGCTCATCTGCTGTGGGGCAGAGCCGGGCACATCCCCTCAGCCCCGGCCTCCTCTGGGGAGCCCAGCAGGGTCCCTCCGCCCAGGGCCAGGGCTGGTGGTGGCCATCTGCTCTGAGAGCCCCCTGAGCAGAGCCCAGCAGCCAGCCCGACCCTGCCGTGCCGTCCCTCAGGTGTTGGAGCGCCGAGGCTGGCAGGGCCTGGAGGAGGTCGTGCGGCTGCTCAATGGCAACGAGTTCTCTGTGTCAGGTAGTGGGGCTGGGGCAGCAGGGCTGGGGGGATACAGGCATTCAGCCTCCTCATGGGGGCTCGCATGGCCTACAGCGCCCTTCCCTCTGCAGACAGCGCCGTGGAGGACAACCCCGCCTGGGACTGCCAGCGCGTCATCCTCGCCGTGTTCCTGGGCGGCTGCACCTTCTCTGAGATCGCGGCCCTCCGCTTCCTGGGCAAGGAGAGAGGTAGGAGCGGCCTGGGCAGGGCAGGAGGCCGGGGCTGCCCCGCAGCCAGGCAGGCTCCGTGCTCTGTGCTCCGTGCCGGCTGGAGCCCGCGGGGACGGGGCTGGCAGTGCCGGCGCTGCCCGGCTGGGGCACCGACGGGCCTTTCCTGCAGGGTGCAAGTTCATCTTCCTGACCACGGCCATCACCAACAGCGCCCGCATGATGGAGGCCATGATCGAGGCCAAGGCCTGAACCCTGAGGGCAGCCTGCCAGTAAAGATTCTAATGACAACGACCCGGCCTGCGCCTGTCTGTGTGCGAGCGCGACCCGCGGGGCAGCCTTGAGGCCGGGGCCGCTGCGGGCCGGGCGGGCCCGGTGGAAGCCGTGGCGCAGGGGACGGGCGGACCCCGCCCGGGCGCGGTCACGGTGCGCTTTCCAAATGCGGCCGCGCGGGGGCGCCGTTACCCGCGCAGGACGCGGCGGCGGTCTCGCTCCGGATTGGCTGGCAGCGCCCAAGGCTCTGCACTCCCATTGGCTGCGGGCGGCTTGGGGCGGGACGGGGCGCGGCCTGGGTGGCGGTTGTGGGCGGGGCCGCGGCGGCGCGGCAGCCAGTCAGCGCGGCCGGGGCAGTTCGAATCGGCGGCGCGCGGCGATGGAGCGCGGAGCGGTGAGGAAAAGGTGCGAGACCGGAGCCGGGATAACGGGGATAACCGGGATAACAGGGGGACACTGGGGCCGGGAACCGGGGCGAACCGGGACTCGGGGCTGGGGCGCGGCGGGGCGGAGGCGCTGCGGAGCGCGGTGTGAGGTGCCGGCGGGACGGGCGTGGCTCGGAGGCTCTCGGGCCCCGGCCCGGCTGTGCCGCTGACGGCCCCGCCGTGCCCAGCGAGGTGCTGGCGAACGAGGCCGTGTCCTGCCTGAACCGCGCCATGGCGGCGCTGCGGGACATCTGGGAAGAGATCGGCATTCCCGAGGAGCAGCGCCTGGAGCGCACGGATGTCGTCAGGAAGCACATCAAGGTGAGGGGCGCCGGTTCTTCTGTTGGGCCGCGCACCTGCTGCATGCAGCGGCAGCCCGCGACCCGAGCAGCTCGGAGTGAGCCCACCCAGTGCCGCTCTCTCGGGGCTCCAGCACGGGGCCGGGGCTGCCGGGAGCGCCGGGGGTCCCTGCCCGGCTGTTACCGCGCCTCTGCCCCCGCCCTGCGCAGCCCCGGGATCCCCCCACCAAGCTCGGGCTCAGCCGTGGGTCCCTCGCGGTGGTCCCGCTGCCCTGCCCGCTCTGCCTCTAACCACACCCGTGCTGCAGAGCCTCCTGGACATGATGGTGGCGGAGGAGGAAAGCCTGAAGGAGCGTCTGCTGAAGAGCATCGCCCTGTGCCGGAAGGAGCTGGACACCCTGTGCAGGGAGCTCCAGCTGGGCCCCTTTGAGGTGAGGCAGGGGATCCTGGGGTCTGCCTGGCCTCTGCCTGCGTGTCCCAAGAGGCGAGAGCTTAGAAGGCAAATATCTATTTAAAACTGCTTTTCTGGGTGCTTGGTAGAGCCGAGGGCTTTGTGGCTCCTCACAGGGCAGGCATTGGTAGGTGGCTGTGTGGTCCTCTCCAGCACCTTGTTTGGGGTGTTGCTGGTGTTCGTGCACCTTTCTGGGGAACATCTACTCACACCCAGGCCTGGTGGCCGCAGTCTTTGTATAAAAACCTGAAGCATGAGCCAGGTGCTGGAGAAGTGTGGAACAGAGCTGATTTCTGGCCTCTTGCAGACGGAGGAAAGTACCATCCTGCAGATGGAGAAGAACCTGCGCACGTGTGTGGAGGTGCTGCAGAAGCAGAAGCAGGACCGCAAGCAGGAGCTGAAGGCCCTGCAGGAGCAGGACCGGGCCCTGTGTGACATCCTGTGCACAGCCCTGTTCACCATCGACACCGGCAGCGTGCCCAGCCTGGATGACCTGGACCGCTACCGGCGCCACGTGGCCTCCCTCAACACCCTGAAGGTGAGCCTGGGGCTCAGGGGTCGCTGAGGCACCCACAGGGGGCCCCTGGTTCTGACACTGCCCCACCCCAGGAGCAAAGGCGGGAAGAATTTGTCAGCCACAAGCGTCAGATCATTCTGCTCATGGAGGAGCTGGACCACACCCCAGACACCAGCTTTGAGCAGGACGTGGTGTGTGAGGACGAGGAGGCGTTCTGCCTGTCCGAGGACAACATCATGGCCCTCCAGAACCTGCTGCAGCAGGTATGCAGTGCCCTGAGCCAGTGCTGGGGCTGCCATCACGATGTAAGAGCAGCCGCTGGGTTTTGGCAAGGCTGCTGTGTGTTAGAGCAGCCTTCCAGGGGCACTGAGGAGCTCTCGTGTGCCACAGTGAGGCTCTGTGGGTGCAGCAGAGCCAGAGACTGTGCTGACCCCGCACTCCCCTCCCTGCGTGCAGCTGGAAGGGCGGCGGGCCCTGAACGAGGCGGTGTGCGCGGAGCTGCGCGCCCGGATCCTGGCGCTCTGGGAGCGGCTGCAGATCCCCCAGGAGCAGAGAGACTCCTCGGCCGTGCACCTGGCCGGCTCCAGAGCCCGAACCAGGAGAGCTGTAAGACCCTGCTGTGCTCACGGTGGCAGGGCTGGGGCAGCAGCCCCAGGGGCTCTCGTGCTCCTGGCTGCTCAGTGAGGGGTGAGGGGAGCGGGGCAAATTCTGCCTTCGTGCAGGGAGGAGCTGGAGGCTGGTGTGGCAGCTGCCTCTTCTAGAGAGTGGCTCATGCAGAAGATGAACCCTGTTCTCCCCTCTCCTCCCTGACCTTGCTCTGTTCTGGGGGGCAGCTGCAGCAGGAGGTGGACCAACTGGAGGAGCTGAAGCTGCAGAACATGAAATCCGTCATCCACGCCATCCGGGCAGAGCTGGCTGACTACTGGGACAAATGCTTCTACAGCCAAGAGCAGAGGGAAAGGTTCAGCCCCTTCTATGATGGTGGGTGCTGGCTGGGTAGGCAGATCTGGGGAGGGATCCCAGGGCTTCCAGCAGCCCCCTGACCTGGTTCTTGTGCCCCGCCAGAGGATTACACAGAGACCCTGCTCGAGCTGCATGACGCTGAGGTGGGCAAAATGAAGATCTACTATGAAACACACAAAGATCTGTTCGAGGCTGTTCGGAAGTGGGAGGAGAACTGGAAGCTGTTCCTGGAGCTGGAGGTATTGTCCAGGCAGGAGCATGGGGAGCCGTGGGTCAGGGTGTACCTCTGCTCCCCTGGGACAGCGCTCTGGAAGGAGCAGGGAGTCATGGGGGGCCAGGGCAGGGATGAGGTGCTGTGTTTCAAGCACTGGGGTGTTTGTGCAGGGCTGGCTTGTCTGAGGCCTTCACCATGTGAGGCTGAGGGGAGTGGGTGGTGTGTCTGTCTCTCTTGACCACCCTGCTCTACCAGCGTAAAGCAAATGACCCCAGTCGCTTCACCAATCGAGGAGGAAACCTTTTGAAGGAGGAGAAGCAGCGAGCAAAGCTGCAGAAGACGCTGTCTAGGGTAGGTCCAGCCCTGGGGAAGGACCTGTGGTCCCACTGACCACAGAAAAAGAAATCCTTGGGTGTGGGGACATCTGCGTTCAGGGCAGCCCCTACACTGCCCTCGTGTCCTGATCAGCTGCAGGAGGAGCTGGAGAAGAAGGTCCAGACCTGGGAGGAGGAGTTCAAGGGAGCTTTCCTGGTGAAGGGGCAGCAGTTCATGGAGTATGTGTCAGAGCAGTGGCAGCAGTACTGGCTGGAGAAGGAGAAGGAGAAGCAGGAGCGGGTGAGTAGAGAGCTGAGCATGTTGGCTTCTGCCTGAGAATGCCAGCCTAGGGCTGTCCCCTGCTGGGCCCCAGCCACTGCCCTGGGCTCTGCCAGCTCATTCCCAGCTTGGAAGCAGCAGGGAGTGGGGCTGGTGCCCACTGTGTCACATCTGCATGGGCCAAGCCCTTTTGTGGCCCCAGCTGTGCCAGAGGTGACACTTGGCTCTGGCCACATGTGACTCTGTGCTGAAGTTCCTGCTGCGTGGCTGTGCCAGGCTGTCAGCAGGGAGCCTGGCGGTGTCACACTGTCAGCAGCCCCTGGTGCTCAGTGTGTGAGTGCAGGCGTGTCCCACAGCACCTGAAGAAGAGCCGGGAGATGGAGGCAGAGATGCTCTACGGCAGCGCCCCGCGCACACCCATCAAGCGGCGCATGCTCAGCCCCCACACACCTGCCAAAGTAAGCAAGGTAAAATGTCCCTGCTGGGCTGGGCTGGGTGTGCCTGGAGCACAGCCTCGGGCTGGCCTCGGCCCCGTGGGGACGGGAAGGGAAGGTGTCCTGTGTGACGTGTGCTCTCTCCTCAGCTCCACGGCACCTCCAGCGCCAGCACCATGTCCAACACCACTGTTCGCTCAGCCTTTGGGGGAGCCATCTCCCACTCGCCCACCTCTCGGCTCCCACCCTCCGGGAAGAAGGTGAGGGGCCTTGGGGGCTCCCTGCCGGGGCTGGGCTGCAAGGGACAGGTCAGCTGAGGTGGTGCAGCTCTTCTGCTGTCACCCTGTGGTTCACCACCTCCTCTGCTGAGGTCGTGGGGGACAGAAGCCCCTGTTTGTCTGCAGTCTGCTCTGTGGGGCTGTGGCCATCCTGCTGGGGTGTTTCTGGGACCTGAGGGAGGAGGAGGAGGGTGCCAGAAAATCTTATTCCAGCCTGTTTTTCTAGTACACCTCTTCCTTAGTTCTGAGCTTGAGGGACCTTCAAAACGTGTGGGCTGCCAGACAGGGCCTGAGCATCCTTGGGTAGTGAGTGGCATCCCTGCCTATGGCAGAGGGGCAGAACAAAATGGGCTTTAAAGTTCCTTCTCACCCACATCATTGAAGGATTCTGTGATTCTGTGCTGTATGTTTCAGGGGCCAGAACTAAACGCCAGAGTCTGGAGAGCTCTTGGAGCCTGACGCTGCTCTGGCTCCTCAGAGTGGAGGGTGCTCTCCTGCCTGTGCTCCGTTCCTGCATCCCGTAACTGTCACCTCTCCCCACAGTTCAGCCGGGCCCGGACCCCCACCCGCCCGGCAGTGAAGCCCCCCCGACGCAGGCTGAGGGAGCAGAACAAGGAGAACGTGTCGCAGCTGGACGGAACCACCCTGAGCGGTGGGTGCACCCCCAGAGCCCCTGCCCAGCGTAACCACAGCGTTAGTTCTGTTGCCAGCACCTATTCTGAGTTTGCGGTAATTCACCTCTTCTAACCCCCCCGTCACTGCACAGCACAGGACCTTTGCTCCCTCCTGTGTCCCCCCCGTGTGTCCCCCTGTGTCTCCTCTGCTCCTGCCCCTGCCTGTGACTTCCCATGGAGAGCTTCTGGCAGAGCTGGTGGCAGAGGGCCCTGAGCAGCGCTGGGGACGGGCCCGTGCAGGGACAGCTCCAAGGCAGAGCCCCTGAGCATAGAGGGGCTGCTTTCCTCTCTCAGGATGGGAGACCCTGGGGGCCCTGGCCAGCTTCTGTCCTCCCATCAGGCTGGGCTGAGCCAGAGATTTACCATTGTGTGATACTAACAAAAGTTTTCTACTCTTTATACATTTCAGTAAAGAAAGGCATTAATGTTCATTGGCTACAAGTTACATAATACAATTTGTATTCCATCTTCCTTTGGTAGCCTGGCCTGCCTCTCTCTGTCCCCTCTGAGCTGTGATGCAGCAGCCCCCTCCCTTCCCTCATCCCTCTCGTTTCCCCGCTTGTTTCCACAGCGCCAACTCTCAAAGGCTTCCAGCTTTGAAAGCACCTCCCGTGTTCTCAACTCCACCACCAACAATGCCGCATGATGCAGCCCTGCTCCGGCAGCAATGCAGGGTCTGCAGCACCTCCCGCTCCTGGATAACGCTCCCCTCCGTTGCTGCTTTAGAAATGTGCTTTTATTTAAAAAAAATTTCTAGATGTTGTGAATAAAGTCCTTGTACAGCCCCAGCCTCCGGGCGCGTCTGGGGGTCCCTGCGCGGAGCGAGGGCGGTGATAGAAGGGGCGGGGCATGGCCTGGGGAGTCTCAGCCAATCAGGAACCGGGCTGCAGCTTTTTCGGCCAAGTCCAATCTGTGCCCTGATTGGCGAAAAAAACTGGAATTCCGCGCTCTGATTGGCTGAAAGAGCAGGGGCTTCAATCCATGCGGTGATTGGCCAAACAAGGAACAGTCCCTATCAGCTCCTGATTGGCTAAAAAAACCCTGAACTTTCAATCCTCATCCTGATTGGCTGAAAAAAAGCAATCCAATGCGAATCCTGATTGGCTGAAAAAGCTAGCGCTGCTGTGTCCTGATTGGCCGAACAGGCTGAAGCACCGATTCGCTCCGCGCCGCGAATGGCTGCGAAGCCTCGGACCGGAGCCTGCCCTGCCGAGCCAGAGCCGCAGCCTCAGTCCGGACCGTGCCGAGCCAGAGCCTCAGGCTCAGTCCCTAACCAAAAGAAATTTTTTTGCTGAGCAAAAAGCTGCAGTCCCGCCCCCCAAACCAACCTCAGCCCTTCTCAGCTGCTTGCTCTGAACTGCCCACCGGGACTGTGGAGACAAACATAGGATGAACGCTGGAAAACTTGTGATATGAGACAACAGTTCAGTGAGGGAAGCAAAGGCCACACAGAACAAAGCAAAGCCAATTCATTCCCTCCGATTGGTGTTCAGCCTCCCCAGGACAGTGGGGCCCCATCACGGTAATGGTAACTTGGACAAAACCACTACTGCTCTGAGCATCCCCCCATTCCTTCTTCTCCTCCCCTTTCCACACTGGCATGATGCCACATGGTCTGGGACACCCCCAGGGTCAGCTGGGGGTCCCCTGGTCCAGCTGTGTGTCCCAGCCCTCCACGAGTTCCTCTGCACCCCCCAGAGGAGCAGAATCGGCCTCAGCTCTGTGCCAGCGCTGCTCTCTCTGCCACACCCCAGAACGAGCACCATGCTCACACAAACCCAGGCACAGCCCCCTGCAGTCCCTGCCCCAGGACAGCTTCACTGGAGCCCGATATGCTGGAACATGGCTCACACACACCAACACTACAGCCCTTATAGAAAAGTGAATTTAATGAACACATCCTGCCCGCCCCAGGGTATCCCTGGAGCTGATGCAGCTGCCACCCCACTCCCAGCGTGTCAATCAGGTCACTCTGGGCTGAACTCAGCCCCATCCGGTGCCACAGGAGGGTTGCCTGCCCTGCCCTGAGCACAGAGCCGTCCTGGAGCTGGTCCTGCAGAGCAGAGCCTGCCCTCACCCCCATCTGCAGCACCCACAGCTCCTGGGGCCCTCAATGCTCCCGCACACGCACATAGGTGGTCCAGGGCCCACACACCACCTCCTCCACCCGCAGCCCCTCGGCCACCAGGTGCTCCACGCGGCGTGCCTGGTCAGAGCTGATGTTGTTCCCGTGTCCCAGCTGCCCGTATTTACCTGCAGAAACAGTCATGACACAACGTGGCCCTGGGGCCTCACAGGGCAATTGCTCCTGGTGTTTGTGGGGAGGGAAGGAACACAACACAGTGTAGACAGAACTCGTAGAGCGACAGAAGAGCCAAGGGCGAGAGAACAGGAACCAGAAGCTGCTCCTGGGGAGGCTGTACACTCCCAAAGCAGAGGTGCCACTTACCCCAGCCCCAGGTGTAGAGCTCCCCACCTCCTGCAACAGGGACAGCACCATCAGGCAGCACCCAGTGAGCTCCATCCCCCACAGTGCTCCCCTGCCCCCAGAGGCACTGCCCCAAGGGTCCCAGTGAGCCTGGCACCCCTCAGAGCCCCTGCCCCCAGAGGCACTGCCCCCTGCCCTGCTGGACACTCACGTGTGACCACAGCTGTGTGTCGGGAGCCACAGCTGACCGTGCTGACCTCCAGGTCCTGTGGCAGATCCAGCAGTGCCGGGAACGCCTGGATGGAGATGAATGCAGCATCCTGGGCAGCCAGCTGCTCCTGGCAGGGCATCAGCTTGGTGCTCCCTGCACAAGAGGTGACAGCAGCATTGCTCACAGGCTGAAGCACGCTGGCCCTGCACCAAGCTGCAAGGGCTACGCAGGAACCTGGTCCAGCCTGCCCTCAGCCTGGCCACATGGCACAGGGCACTGAATCAATGCCCCTACACCCACCTGCGCTTTTGTCCTCATCCCGCACTCGCTCCTCTGCCAGCCCTTTGGAGGGCAGGGCCAGCTGCCCCGACTCATTCCAGCCCCACATATACAGGTCTCCTGCCTCTGTGGTGGGGGAAAAAGGCATCAGGCAGAGCTTAGCCTGGGCCGCACCTGCTGGCAGCACTGGGTGCTCCGGGGACACCAAGAGCCCACATTCCCCAGGCAGGTCCCCCCAGGCCATGTGCCAGCAGCAGCGTGCCCAGCTGTCCCGCCCAGCCCAGCCCAGCCCAGCCCGGCGCAGCGCTCACCGCTGACGCTGGCTGAATGCCACCCGCCGGCCGCCACCGCCCGCATGGGCACCCCTGCCAGCGCCTCCACCAGCCGCGGCTGCAGCTCCGCCTCCAGCTGCCCGTGGCCCAGCTGCCCGTGCCTGCAGGGACACAGACAGACAGACAGACACACACGCAGCCCACCGCCTACAGCTCCTGCCCACAGACCCCACCAAGCCCTTCCTGCTGCCACCAACCCAGCTCCAGGCTGGTGGAGCCCGAGCAGCTGAGGGAACAGCCACAGCTGCGCAGAATTAACCCCAGGAAAAGCCAAGCGCCAGGGGGAGAGTGATGCCCAGCACCAGAACACCAGCTACAGCCAGGGGTGGGTGGGCAGCAGTGGGACACAGCACCAGGGGCTTTAATTGCTTCAGTTGTCAGAGATGGGGCAGAAACAGGAGGGGCTGGCAGGAGTTGTAGGGGTGAGACGAGCAGCTCAGCTGCAGAGTGGTGCCTGTTTGGTCTGGGGAGCTTCAGTGTGACAGCTCAGGATGCCAACAGCTGTGCTGATGCACAGCACTGGAAAGTCTGTTCACATTCCATATGGAATCTGCAGAGGACTGAGAGAGAGACGCTGAGAGCTGAGGGGCAGGGAAGGGCCTGCTGCAGCAGGAAAGTGGCACTGGGCACTCCGTCACGAGAGGGTAATGGTGACCACAGCCAGCAGTAGGAGAGGAGCTACAAAGGGGTGAGCTATCACACAGCACAGCTGTCACACTGCAGGATACACTGGCACAGGAAGGCGTGAGAGGATTCTCAGATGTGCTGAATAACCAAGCTACAAAAAAGTTAATCCTCAAGTACACATCCCCACATGTAGAAACCTTTCCTCTGAAGGGAAGGCAAGAAGGACCAAATAATGCAGTGCTGGCAAAGCAAGAAGTGCTGATGTAAACTGTGTCTGCCACCAGCTAGCCCAGAGCCAGAGAGCGAGGAGCAGGGACTGGGGAGGGAAACGCTCCTGAGCGATGAGAACAGGGAGGGCACTGGGCCAGGGCGCGCAGCTCTGTGACAGATGAGCAGTGCTGCGTTTGTCTTCCTTAAGCAGCAAAGAGGAACAGAGCAACCCTTCCACTCTACAGATGAGAACAAGAAGCTCCTGTGGCCAAGCCTCATCAGGCACCAGCAGAACTCAGGGATCCAGGGCACCTGTGGCTGGGCTCCCCAGCACCTGACTGGGGCAGCAAATACACAGACAACCCCCTAATGAACAACTGTCCCAGAGTGACTTTATGATGCTTCCACCCCCAGCCATCTGTTCTCTTTATGCTGGATATTAAGTTCTGCGCTTTTAAGACTGGTTCTGAGAGCAAAAGGGAGAAAAAAGAAACACAGAGTTTGTTTTCAAAAACTGCACTCACTCCCCCACATCCTTCTCCTAGACTGTGTTGTCTGCAGCACAAACAGACAGAAGGAGAAAGCACTCCTTTGCTTTTTAGTTATTTTTTTAGCTAGCTGAGGCAGTGAAGTTCTCTAGACTATGAGTTTTCTTTTTCTTAGAACTGCTCAAACCTACCCTAAACTGAAAACCCAAAAGAACACCAAGAGCTCACACCTATAACCCCCCAAAGCCTAGGATGCTGCATTCCAGAGCCAGAAAATCTAATAAAAGACTAAGCAAGCCAATCTACACCTCACAAAAAAACTTTATAATGTTGCCATCTCTTCAGAACAGCAATTTTTTTTTGTTTAATATTATTCTTTTTTATACTTGTAGACTCTTTGCTTATTAAATAAACAGGTTTTTTCCACTTTTCCCCAAAGAAATCTTTCCCCAAACCAATTTAAGGGAGGGGTCACTTGAATTTACTTTCTAAAAGAACCCCACTCAGAAATTTCCTCCCAAAATTTACCCAAAAGCAAAACAAATGCAAGAACACCTTTGTGAGAATAAACTTAGCAGTGCCACCAGGTGTTAAATGCACCTGAGTTCAGCTGCTGGCAGGTGACAGAGGGCCATGGGGCTGGAGGGTTTTCCCAAGGGCTTCACTCCCCTCCACGGGCTGTACCAGAGGGACCTGGCACTGAGCTGTCACAGACTGATGGAATCAATCTCCAGTTCAGAAACACAAGAGCTTTGCTGCCAGCTGGTGTTGTGTGGCAAATTAAAGAGGAGCAGGGACAGAGCAGGGACCTTGATGGTCATACAGAGACCCAAGCGTCCTTGGAGACTGCCCTGAGGGAGCCAAAATTCAGAGCAGAGACCAGAGTCAGTAGCCAGAGACCCAGCGCTTAGAGAGGAGACAGGGCTGCCCATGGGGCCAGCGAGGGTGGACTCAGGGGGAACAGGGGCATGGCGAGGCCAGCGCCCCCCAAGAGAAGCCATGATTTGGGATGCCTGTGCCTGGGGACCTGGCTATGGTGAGGGACAGATCCCATCAGCAGGTGGGTGAGCACTGGACACCTGCAGCTGTACCCAATACTTCTCTCAGCTGTACGGTAACATTCCCAAGTCCACCCCCAGAGGAAAGTCAGGAGGCATAAGCTGGCCCCAGGCAGTGTGTGCAGGCTAATGGGTGCCCAGCCTCTGAGGTG